GTCCTACTACTGACTCTGATCTTCCTGCCTCCCTCTTATAAGGACCTTTGTGATTATACTGGGTCCACTCAGATAATCCAGGATAATCTCCCTAAAAATAATATTAATAAAAAAATAAATAAAATCAAGGTGTTACCAAGGCTGCATTCCTTCTGGAGGCTTCAGGGGAGAAGCCACTTCCTTACCTTTTTTCATCATCTGGAGGCCCCACTCTCATTCCTTGGCTCATGGTCCCTTCCTCACATCACCCCATCCTCTGGCTTCCATCGTCACATTTCCTACTACTGACTCTGATCTTCCTGCCTCCCTCTTATAAGGACCTTTGTGATTATACTGGGTCCACTCAGATAATCCAGGATAATCTCCCTAAGATCCCTAATGTAATCATACCTGCAAAGTCCCTTTTACCATGTTAAGTTTCATATTCATAGGTGCTGGGGAAGTAAATACCCTTGGGAAACCATATTCAGCCTTCCACACCTGGGCATACACAGCCCTATGCATGTGCATGACCTTCTAGAGGAAATCCATGTTGAGTGATCAGTTAAAGTCAGAGAAGGAATGTAGTTATTACTGAAGGGCTCCTCCAGGCAGCCAAATCCATAGAATTCAGGTCATCAGAGGGAAGTTCATTAGAAATTAAACAGAAGACACAGCCCTATCCTGGTACCACACCAGCATTACACTGGTGTGATGTTCTTAGAGATACTTCAGAAAAGTCACAATTCAACAACTAAAATAATCAGGACAACAGTAGCTGCGAATAAGAGGGAAATGGCATTTGAGAGGAGAGTACAGAGATTTGTGGTCTTCAGTCTTAAAGGGCAATAGCTGAGATTATGAACAAATAATATACAAATATTAAAAAGTGGAGGCCGGGCGCGGTGGCTCACGCCTGTAATCCTAGCACTCTGGGAGGCCAAGGTGGGTGGATCGCTCAAGGTCAGGAGTTCGAGACCAGCCTGAGCAAGAGCGAGACCCCGTCTCTACTAAAAATAGAAAGAAATTATCTGGACAACAATATACATATAGAAAAAATTAGCTGGGCATGGTGGCGCGTGCCTGTAGTCCCAGCTACTCGGGAGGCTGAGGCAGTAGGATCGCTTGAGACCAGGAGTTTGAAGTTGCTGTGAGCTAGGCTGACGCCACGGCACTCTAGTCAGGGCAACAGAGCCAGACTCTGTCTCAAAAAAAAAAAAAAAAAAAAAAGTGGAAGAGATACCAGAGATCTCTCTCTCTCATGCATACAGAGGATAAAGCCATGTGAGGACACAGTGAGAATGTGGCTGTCTGCAAATCAGGAAGAGAGGCCTCACCAGAAACCAACACTAACAGCACCTTGATCTTGGACTTCTAGCCTCTATGAGAAAATAAATAAATTTCTGTTGTTTTAATCACCCAATCTGTGGTATTTTGTTAGGGAAGCCCTAGCTGACAGAAACTTTAGATATTTTGGTGGACATTTCTAATTGTCATCAGGAAAAATAATCTCTTCTCAAGAAAACAGTAGTTGGTTTCAGTGTTAAGGGTTAATAAGAATATGCATTCATTTAATCATATGGCAAATATTCAAGGTGTTAGGCTGTAGAATCGGTATGTATAAGTGTGTGTGGTATGGTAGGGGAATTACAAAGATGGGTAACACAGAAACTCCTCAAAATTATCACAATATAACAGATGGTGATCCTAATTTTTTTTTTTAAAAGCCCAAACACATTTGAGGAATTCTACCTCACTACTGCTGTGATTCTCAGCTATAAGGCTCTGCCTTCTCTACTAAAGTGGTGAGTTGGTATAAAGCAGTGTTTCTGAATCTCAGCACTACTGGACATTTTCAACCGGATAATTCTTTGCTGTGGAGGGTTGTCCTCTGGTCTCTACCCATTAAATGTTAGCAGCATCTCACCCCTAACCCCCGCCACTGTGGCAACCAAGAAACATCTCCAGACGTTGCTAAATGTCCTCTAGGGCAGTGGTCCCCAGCCTTTTTGGCACCGGGAACCAGTTTCATGGAAGATAATTTTCCCACGGACAAGGGGTGAGGGAGCGGTTTTGGGATGATTCCAGTACATTACATTTACTGTGCAGTCAAACCTCTCTGCTAATGGTAATCTGCATTTGCAGCCGCTCCCCAGCGCTAGCATCAACCCCTCAGCTCCACCTCAGATCATCAGGCATTAGGTTCTCACGAACAGGGTGCAGCCTAGATCTCTCGCGTGGCCTGTTTACAGTAGGGTTGTGCTCCTATGAGAATCTAATGTAGCTGCTGATCTGACAGGAGGCGGAGCTTATGCAGTGATGCCAGCGATGGGGAGCACCTGTAAATACACATAAAGCTGGGCTCTCCACTCACCTCCTGCTGTGTGGCCCAGTTCCTGACAGGCCATGGAATGGTACCAGGTCAAGGACAGGGTTTTGGGGACCGTAGGTCTCTAGGGGACTGACATAAAGTTTGAAACAACTCCATAGGTGATTCTGATCCAAACCCTGGGAGGACTAATATCACCTCTGAGAATCACCGTAGTGGAGTGATACAGGGGTAAACCAATAACAATTTTAGACAACTTGTAAGAAATGCAAGTCAGGAGGTAAACATGGCTATAAGAATTTAGGGAACAAATCACTCTGAACTAGAGTAAGCCTGTAAGGTTTCATGGAGAAAGCCAGCAAGGTAGCTAAACAACTAGGGTGACACATTTTTTAAGTACAGTACCTAAAAATATTTTATATACTACGTATTTTTATATATTTTATATTTTTTCCTGAGATACTTGGCCAGAGTTAGAATAATAAAGAGAATTCCAGAGGATGTGAGAGAAAATCTGCCTGAGCTGGAATTTCCTTATCTGTATACAAGTAAAGACACTATGTTCCCTTGGAGGAGGAAAAAGAGCCTGTGCCCAGCTCACACCAGCCTTCCTGCAGGTTTGGACTGATCCGCAAATATTCAGAGAATGCTACTATGGTCTAGGCATTACACAACAGGCACAGTTCTTGCTACTAGGAATACAATACTGAATAAAACTTACCCAAATTTCTGCCCTCATGAAGCTTACATTCTCATGGGGTGGAAGGTGTGAAGAGAAAGACAATTAAAAAAAATAGAAATAAAATATGTAGTGTATCATATGGTAATAAGGTGCTACGGGGAAAAATAAAATCAGAAAAGGGACTAGGCGTGCAGGGTAACCGGATTCTTTAGGAAGATCATGGAAAGTCTCAATGAGCTGAAGGCATCTGAGCAAAGATATCTGGTCCTCACCGCGGAGAAAGGGGTCCTAAGCCGATCTTTGGAAACACCTCTGCCTCGTACCATCCCATATTTTATTGCTCCTGTATTCCCAGTGCTGGTACAATAATGGAACTGCCACCAGTTACTGAGCACCGAGTCTTCTCTCCAAACAAGCACTGCGCCAGGGGCTCCCCAAGCATGTTCACGGCCCGGGAAGGTGGATGTTAGTAGTCCCAATTTTTAGAGAAGAAATGGAGTCGCGGAGAGGATATATTCCTATCACACGGCTAAAGGAAGAGGCAGAGCCAGGATTTCCACGCAGGTCTTCCTCGACTCCAAGACCACATGGAGGTGGTTCTGTAAAAGCTGTTAAACGCACACGCCAACAAAGAGCAACGCCCGGCGCGTGCCAGGCCGCGAGCACAGGGAGGTTCACGCCGCGCCTCCCGCCCCCGGGCGGCGCTGCAGGGAACACCTGTTCGGCCGGGGCCCGGGACCCCGTCCCGCCTCCAGGGCCTGCACCCCCGCGGCCCCACGCCCACCGCCAGAGCGGCTCTCGGCCCTCCTCGATTTACCTGTTGCGACGCTGGCGTCGCTCCCGCGCCTGTCCCGGTGGCCGCGCCCGCCCCCGCCACAGCCCCGGCTACCGCGGTGGCCGCCGCCGCCACCACAACCGTCGTCAGGGCGGCCATGTTTCCTCGCCGAGCCGCCCCAGCCGCAGCGCCCACCCGGGCCTGGGGGCTCGCGCCCGGCTCGCCCGCGCCTCTGCAGACCGCTCCCGGAGGCTCCGCCGGGACGCCGGGCGGGGCCCCGCGCAGGGCGGAGCTGGGGTGCCGGAGGGATCGCGGGGCGGGGCGGGGCGGGGCTGGGGGCGTCGCTCTCCCCTGACAGGGGTGTGTACCAGGCAGCTCTCTCCTTTGCCGCCTAGTCCCATATCTGCCAAGAAAATTCATTGTCTTACATTGCTTTCCTTACATTTTATTTGTGTTATACCCAATATATATATTTTTACGTGATAAAACTGCTTTCTAGGTTTCTACTAAGTGCCGGTGAAACCGAGTCTAAATGAAAAAACATTACCAATAAGTTCCACAAAAACCCTATATTTTACATCTTCAAAGAAAATAAACCAGCATGCCCCACAGAACAGACATTAGAGGCAGGAATGCCACAGTTGCATTCCTAGAGCTTGGTCAATAAGAAGAGAGATTCCAACGGTAATGTTAGGAAGTTAGAAAAAAGCCCCTGAAGACTCCTCCAGTCAAGGCAACCTGGGGCAACTGAGCTGGTTTCTGTAGGTACTTCCTTTTCCTCCTTTAAAGGAATCGATTCATTTATGCAATCAATATAGAGCTCCCACCATATGCCAGGCACTGTTTTAGGCCTTGGGAATTCATTGTTGAGTTAGACACACACAGACACACGTTTCCTTCTCTCATGACTTCTAGTAGGGAATTAAACAAGTAAACACACAGTATATTTACTGAGCAATTACTTTGTGCCGGCACTGTTGTAAGTGCTTTGAGCGCACTTTATTCTCACAAATAACAGTGAAGTGGGTACTATCATCATCTCCATTTCATGGATAAACTTAAACAACACAAAGTCACAAAGCTGGGACCATCCTGGCAGAGATATTACATAGGCCGCTGGATAAATGCCTCTAAAGCCCAGGAGAGAGATTGGAGCTAAAGATGTGAATTTAGCCTTCATCTCCGTATAGAAGATATTTGAAATAAGAGTGAATGAGATCATCCAGGGATAGTGGAAATTAAAGTCGGGGAATTAAGCCTAGGGCCTTCAAGTAGGTGACCACAGACAAGAGGGAGGGGACTAAGAGAGGTCTGTGAGAAGGAAGGAAAACCAGAACTCTGTGGAGGAAAGTGTTTCAAGGAGACAATGATCAGCATCCAGAGGCTGAGTGAGATGAGAACAAAGACACCACGATGGCTGCATTTGGCAATAGGGAGGCCATGACAGAGCAGTGGTCATGGGGTGGGAGGACAAAAGACTGGCTGGCTGTGTTGAAGACATGATGGGGGCGGGAAGGTAGAAATGGTGTCCTTTAACGATGATTTTGATGGATTCTGTGGAGCTGGTAATCAGAGAGATGAGGCGGGTAGCTGGAGGAAGGTGTGTGACCAAAGAAGGGTCTTTGTTATTGTTGTGTTGTGTTTCAAGGTGGGGACTAGTAGAAGGTGTTTTTATGCTGCTCAGAATGATCCAGTGGAGAGCAAAAGTTTGATGCTGCAGAAAAGAGAGGCAGCCTAGCCTCCTGAAGGCAAGACTGTTGGAGTCCGGGGCACAAGTTGAAGGTTTGGTCTTTAATAGGGCCATGGACTCTTCCTGACAGAGGGAGATGGCGAGGCCGGAAAGTCCTACACACATGATTTGCATCGCAAGGTGGTTGGTAGATTAGGAAAGAGAAGATGGTTGCTCTCCTCCCCCTACCCCCATGTGTAGTAGGAGGGAGTAAGTTGCCTGGGTGTATTGAGAAGGTAAAACTTCCCTAATTTACACATTTACCTTTCACTCAAAGTGAGCCCTGAGGCTATAGCACTGTTTGAATTCCTATAATTGTTAGTTTGGACTAATCTTTCAGCCTCTGGAAAAAATAAATCAATTAACAATCTGAATTGAATGGTCTCTGTAGAGGACAACACAGACCGGATACTGTAAGGGAATATAGAAACAGGCAAGATACCCACTATGTTTAAGGCTTTTAATGATTTATTAGAATGGAAAATTCCAAAAAATGATTAAGAGTCTCAAAAGCAGAAAACCAGAGTAGGCCTTTGTGACATGTAGATTAGGCAGCCGCCTGTGGTCTCATGGCTAGGCCCTTTCCGTGGTCAGAGCTACAAAATATATTTTCTTTTCTATTTCTTTTTTTGTGCCCACGCCCTCCCCCCTAAAAAATATATTTTTATTATATAGTTTCATTTTTGATGTTTTGTATCAATTCTAATTTAACATCACAGGTTTGGCTTTCCTTAACTTCCTTTATATTGGCATTTCTTTTACACTGAAAATCTTGTTTCCATAGAATATCAACATATTTACTTATTTGCTTCCTCTTGGAACAATCATGTAGTTTCAAATTCAAATATTCTAATATCATAAAGAATGAACCTACTGGGTGAAGTTTAAGATCATTTTGCAGTTCTTTTGGTCCTTAGAATATATCTCTCACAGATATCAAGTCAGAATATTGTGTTTAAAAGCTTTCTGGAATCACCCTTTTCTCTGTGTGGTTATGGAATCAATCTGACATATAGTTTAGTTCTTTTGGTTATGTTTGTATTCAATTTCAGTGATTCCTTTTTGTTTTCTTTTCTTTTTGGTTGACTTTAAAAAAATACATTAAACATTGTACAAACTATATGACAAAGTATGTTTAAACAAGTCTTGCTCCCAAACATATGCATGCCATTTCAGCTAATCCTCTATGGGTGGCCATTTTTATTAATTTCTATTTTGTTCTTTTACATTTCTTTTTTTTTTTGAGACAGAGTCTCACTGTGTTGCCCGGGCTAGAGTGCCGTGGCGTCATCCTAGCTCACAGCAACCTCAAACTCCTGGGCTCAAGCGATCCTCCTGCCTCAGCCTCCCGAGTAGCTGGGACTACAGGCATGCGCCACCATGCCCGGCTAATTTTTTTTTTCTATATATTTTTAGTTGTCCAATTAATTTCTTTCTAATTTTAGTAGAGACGGGGTCTCGCTCTTGCTCAGGCTGGTTTCGAACTCCTGAGCTCAAACAATCCGCCCGCCTTGGCCTCCCAGAGAGCTAGGATTACAGGCATGAGCCACCACACCCGGCCTTACATTTCTTTTTGCAAAAAAATAAATATACATATAAATTCCTATTTTTCCTTTTTTCTTCCAAACACATGTAGCATATTTTATTAGTTTCCTACGGCTGCCAAAACAAAGTACCATAAACTGGGTGGTATATAACAACAGAAATTTATTCTTTCACAGTTTAGGAGACCAGAAGTCCAAAACCAGGTTCGGTTTCTTTCTTTCTTTTTTTTTTTTTGAGGCTTAGAGGGAAAATCTGTCCATGCTTCTCTCATAGCTTCTGATGTTTGCCAGCAATGTCGATATTCCTTGGCTTGTGGAAGCATTACTCCAATCTCTGGCTCCTCATTTGCATGACACACATCTGTGTCTCTGTGTTCAAATTTCCCTCTTATTTTTTTATCTATTTATTTTTAGAGATGGGATCTTCTCTTGTCACCCAAGATGGAGTGGAGTGGCATGATCATAGCTCACTGTAACCTCAAACTCTTGGGCTCAAGGAATCCTCCTGTCTCAGTCTCCTGAATAGCTGGAATTCCAAGTGTGTATCACCATGCCCAGCTAAATTTGCTATTTTTTGTAGAGATGGTGTCTTGCTATGTTGCCCGGGCTGGTCACAAACTCCTGGCCTCAAGAAATGCTCCTGTGTCACCCTCCCAAAGTGTTGGAATTACAGACATGAGCCAATGAGCCAGACCCAAATTTCCCCCTTCTTCTAAGGACACTAGTCATTGGATTGGGCCCACTCTAATCTATTAATAGTATGATCTAACTTTAACCTGATTATATCTGCATAGACCCTATTTCCAAATAAGGTCACATTCACAGGTATTAGGGATTAGGACTTCAGCATATCTCTTTGACGGACACAATTCAACTGATAACACATATTATGTGTAATATCCCTTAAATTTTTCATTTAGCAATATATCCTGCAACTGGCTTCATATTAGTTCACAGAACTTTTCCTCACTTTTTAATGATGCATAATACTCCATTATTTTATTCAACTACCATCTATTGATAGATGTTTAGGTTATTTCCAATCTTTTGCTGTTGCAAGTAATGATTCATAAGTATTTCATATTTGGGGAAATATATCTGCAGTGGAATTGCTAGGTCAAAGGACAAATGTAAATGCAACCCAGTTAGATATTGGTAAACTTCTCTCCATAAGAGTTGTACCATATGGCACTCCCACTCACAATGTGTAAGGGTGCTTATTTCTTTATTACTTACTAGCACAGTATTTAAGATTTTGGATTTTTGACAATCTAAGGAGGTGAAAAATCGTATCTCCCACTAATTTAAATACAAACATACCTCATTTTATTGCACCCTATTGTACTTCACAGATATTGTGGATTTTTTTTTTTTTCTTAACAAATTGAAGGTTTGTGGCAACCCTGCATCAACCAAGTCTATTGGCACCGTTTTTCCAACAGTATGTTCTATGTGTCTTTGTGTCACACTTTGGTAATTCTCACAATATTTTAAACTTTTCCATTATCATTATGTCTGTGTGGTGACTTATGATCAGTGATCTTTGATGTTACTATTGCTTTGGGGCACCATGAACCATGCCCATACAGGATGGTAAACTTACTTGACGAATGTTGTGTGTGCTCTGATTGCTTCATCAACCCATGGTTTCTGCATCTCTCTCTTTCTCCATGGACACTCCTATTCCCCAAAACACAATAATATTGATATTAGGCTGATTAATAACCCTCCAGTGGCCTTGAAGTGTTCAAGTGAAAGGAAGAGTAGCAGGTCTTTCACTTTAAATCAAAAGCCAGAAATGAATAAATTTAGTGAGGAAAGCATGTTGACAGCTGAGATAGGCCAAAAGCTAGACCTCTTGTGCCAGTTAGCCAAGTTGTGAATGCAAATGAGAAGTTCTTGAAGGAAATTCAAAGTGCTACCCCAGTGGACACACAAATGATAAGAAAGCAAAACAGCCTTATTGC